CCATCACCAAGGTGGGTCGAGAGTCCTGGAAAAGCAGTGGGGCCAGCAGGAAGGCCGTTCGAACATCAATCACGCACACGCGCCACTTCCGTAAAGCAACTTCTCGTAGGAGCAGCCGAATCAACCCGGCCGCGTACTTTTGCGCCTTGGTGAAGCACTGCCCCAAAAAGTTGCCACAGATAACCGCCCTCGTTTTTAGGCGTCCCGTGAAGGCCTTGATGGTGTGCACCGTCTTGCCCGGCACCAAGTCGAACTCCTTGCCCTCCTTTCGCCATTGTTCCAAAGTCTCCTCCGGAAACGGTTCAACGGCATCGTTCTCCCGGATCAAAGCCTCGTACTCGGCGAGCATGCTAGGAACCCATCGGGACAACTCCTTCCGCACAACCTCATTGGGAATGGTTTTGGTGTGAAGAGGAGATTCCTCCTCACCCTTCGGACCGTCGAGCATTCGAATGCCCTCGGCCTCCTCAGTCTCCTCCGCCTTCTGGTACTCCTTGAGGACACTCTCCAAGCGAGAACGATCATCAACCCACCGCTGTAAAGACTCAGTAGCCACCTCGCCATCCTCGCTTTGGCGAAGAAGATGATCTCGCTCCTCATACTCTTCACATACCAAAGCCATCCGAAGTTCATCTAGACAGCCCCCAAACAAGTCCCAGCCGACCTCCAGAGGAATCTCCGACCCAACGATCTGGTACTCCTCATCGTCAACAGCCGCAACTGCTTTTAGCATAGCTACCTCTGGAGGTCCATAGGCGCCCCAAGTTTCATGGAACCAAACATCACGGTCCTCACCACACATTGACTCACCCTGCTCCGACACCTGATCGCCTATGTAAAACTCCTGGGGTCCCACCACGACTTGGTCTGTGGACGCCCTACAGGTACACAGCGATGGATCCACCTCAAAGCCCTTGCATATACACTGAAACTGAAACGACCCCCGACCTTCACCGCCAGCAACTTGAGGAGATTCCGAGGTCTGCTGCTCCCCCGGAACCGAGCTATCATGGCCACCTCCACACGACGAAGAAAACGTAGCGCACATAGACCGCAAAGCTCCTCTGGGGCGAAGCAAACTTTTCGTTGCACCTTGATTCCGTTCCACAGCTCCTCCCCCTTCGGGTCTTGCCCGAACCAACGCTGGTGGAAGAGGAAAACCCAGCGCTTGTAGTAGATCACGATTGCCGTCGGAGCAATTCTCAGCGCAGTTGACCGTGTACGCGCTGATCGCAATGCGGCGTCCTTCCCATGTTTGTGGCTGGTGCCACCGACATGGATCAAAGGCCACGAGGTTGTGGTAGATGTTGTGAACACGGCCTGGCAACCATTTGCCCTGAAACTTCTTCCAGAACACCTTGTCCACCTCTGTTGCCTCCACGTGGCACCAAAGGCCTCCACCAACGTAGTTGCCCAAACCCATAATGTAGGCCTTCGCTCCCGGTTTGTTATTGCTGTCTCGGTGACACTGCATGGGCACGTTGAAGTTGATCGCCAAGGTGGTGAATGTAGTTCCTGCAGGGAGCTGCGCTTTCATGATTTCCACCAACACCTTGGTGAGAGCCGGACGTAGTCGCACAAAAGTTGTAGCACCCACCACCCCACCATGCCGAAACATCCCTGTCACATGCGCCGACACCTTGGAGTAGTTCTCAAACGGCTTGCCCCGACGATTGGGGACGACAGTGTCACCCAGCCACAGACTCTCCAAGAGCTCCTCTACGGCGGCGGGAGAGAAGTCGCCCGCTTCAAGAAAGGCCTCGGCCCGCAGCTCATCCTGGATAATGTGCTCCTCCTGCTGGGGATCCAATTTGCACAACTTCTCCTCCTTGCACTTGGCGATAGCCATGGTTGTCTTTCCGCGAACGCGGTGCCGAGCACCGGGTAGTGCTCCAGGAGCTGGAGCGGCATCCACTTCGAACTCACCCGACACCTCCTTCACATTCTCCACCGCGACCATCGTGGTGAGGTAGCCGCCCTCCTCTGTCTTGACCAGAAAGCCTCTGGCCACGTCCGCCGAGGGGCACAATATCCGAGCCGACACCACCTTCTCGACGAAGTCCTCCTTTAGCATCTTCCACGTCCTTTTCTTCACAAAGACTTTGGTGCCAAAAGGTGGTAGACGAGGATAACGCCCACCTAGCTGAGTGACCACCGCCTCCTGAATCCGGGCCACGTAGTGCCGCATAGCAAACGACCAAGAACTCGACCCCAGCCCAGAAGCACTCAGCAGCGTCCTCACCGCATTCTTTGCTCTCCCCACCAAAGCTTCCACCCGACCATTGGAGCGAAAGTTGTCACCGCCAGTGGTGGTGCGAATGAAGCCGCGATCCGCACACATCGCCCGAAACGACTTGTTCACAAACTCGCGACCACAATCGGTATGGACCCGCTTCACCACCAAGCCAAGTCGCCGAACTTGAAGAAGAATCTCCTTGGTGGCCGCAAGTACCTCAGGGGCAGCCTTTGAGCTCAGAGGCATAAAGAATGGTACCTCCACCATCTTCACGTCCTCAATCTTCTCCTTGGCGACCAAAGCTTCCCACTTTGCCTCTTCCTTTTTTCTCCGAGCCTTTTCGGCTTCAGTGACCAGCTCCCCTTCATCGTCCGCGAAGTCCGCGTCATCAAGCAGCGGGTCCTCTTCCACGATAGGCCCAACACCGCCACCATCGTCACCTTGAGGCTCAGCTGGTTGTAGAAGTTTCCCAAGCACATCGGGAACCACCAAGGTTGCAATCAGGCCATACTTCACCCTCTTGAGAAGTTCATCATCTCCTTGCTTCGTGGGGCCAATGACATCTAGCGA